AACCTGTGGTGGATCAATCACACTGGGTTGAGCATTTTACTCGTGTGCTAGCACCTGCAATCTCCCGCTCTGCCCTTGTGATGGGCAAATACCCAGTCACCTAAAATCAACTTAAGTGGAATTTAGGATATTTTCCCTCTCTCTAGTCTCGTTTTGGTAATTTCACACTAATTCCAGAGCAAGAAAGCGGTGTGTGTGTGTGTGTGTGTGTGTGTGTGTGTGTGTGTGTGTGTGTGTGTGTGTGTGTGTGTGTGTGTGTGTGTGTGTGTGTGTGTGTGTGTGTGTGTGGGAGGGAGGGAGGGTTTAGGAGGAAAGGCTAGTGGTGTGTTTTGCCCTCACTTCTGTGTAGAGGTGTATTTGCATTTGGTAGATAAAGGGAATGAGTTTCAGATTGAATCGGGAGATAGTGGCACAAGCGTGTGTGCATCAAACCCAACACTGATCTTCAGTGCATGTCACATGATAGATTCCCTCTCTTCATGTCACTCTTCATGCTCCTCCTCCTAAGATCCACCACTGCCTCAGCCACCTCTGGCTATATGAAGTCACTGAAGAGAAAGGTGGGTTAGCCTATGGAGGGATTGCAGCTGCCAAATCCCTTATCATGAGAGTGTATGAAACCACAATCTCCCTGCCTACGTGTGTGTCTGTGTGTTTATGTAATCTATGTAGCCATGTCACCGCATCGAGTGGTTTCTCACCTCGTGATCTGTCATAAAAGCTAAGCACCCACACAGAACTGTAGCAAACAATGCCACCATATCTGAACGCTTTATAATTTAACACTTCATCGGTGGCAGATATGCCAAAACACACACCACCCACATGTACACACACATACAAAAACACACACAGATTTAGACTTTTAGAATGGAATGGACCTCCTGATGCCTATCAAGGCCTCTGATGCCTGCATCTGGGGAAATGGTTTTCTCAGCAGATAAAACACACACAAAGACAAACACACACCGCATTCAGGCCCAGCAGAAGCGATGGCTGCCAATGAGAATCCTCTGTTCCAGAGCGCGGATCCTGATATCATTCATTCTCCCTCTGTCTGCCTGTCTTTCCCTGTCACTCAGACGCTCTGAGGTGTGTAAGATCATACATTCATCATCTCTACAAAACCTCTGCTCTCTATCTCTAACACACACACACACACACACACACACACACACACACACACACACACACACACACACACACACACACACACACACACACACACACACACACACACTCAAGAAGGCAACACTTGTGTCCCCTCTTTTATAAAAAAAAATGGAGGGATTTGGTGGCTAAACGACCCAATGCACCCCTTGTCTCTCTCATCTCGATATCACATTCATTTCATGCAATCTTCTTCCTGGGCTTTGCCAGAGAGGCAGCCATTACGGCTCACTGTCTCTTCACTATGGCTGGGCTATCATATCAGCAGGGATAAATACAAAGGATGGGGTGCATGGCATTTATAATCCCCTCCTGTTTCAGGTGAGCAAATGACAGCCATTACACCCTGCACTCTCCCTCCTTTCACAATAGGAAGAGATGGAAGCTGCTGAATATAATCACGCTTTTAAAAAAGGCCAAGATCACAGAGGTACTTGATGCCTTAATGTGTGGGGAGAGAGATGAAGACGCACTTGAGCATTTACCGTTGCGGCACAGTGGCATCAAATTATATATACAGTATATATATATATAGACTAAGTGTGTGCTAGTCTATTGTATCTGTGAAAAATGGGCGTCAAGCGGAGCGAGGAGGATGAGTGTTCCTTTTAAGTGTATTCATAATTTACACTTCAAGATCTTCATCACCTCACTGAGGGAATGATAAAGCTTGACTTTGTTTTTCTTTCCTCTCTTCTTTCCTCTATGTCTCCCCTCCTCCTTACATAACGCCAGAGGCCAGCCAGTCAACCTGCAGTGGGAAATTGATCATTTAATAAATCAGCAGAGACTTTTATTATTAGCTAATTCTTCTGCCTCAACTCTATTCCTCTCTTTATCCTACTCTTTTTCTGTCGCTCCACTTGTAATTAAACAGGGATTCCACCTGCAGCCAAACTCCAGCACTGCACTGAACAGAGAGAGGAATTAAAGTGATAGCCGATCGTGCTCACAGCCTGTCGGGCACACTGAACTCCTCTTATCTCCTCTCTTCTGGCCCCAGGCTGGCTTCGTCTTTTTCTCCTTCCCTGTTGTGACTTTGTGCAATAGTTTGGCACAGTGCTGGCAGTGCATCAATATGTTGGGCGGGGAGCTGGAAGTATGTGGTTGAATTTATACATTGTTATTTTATTCTGCCATTTTGAATAGAACATTGCAAGTTGTTGTTCATGCATATAGCTGCTTACAACAGTGTCATATTAAATATCAGCAAGTTCTGTAGATGACTGCAAGCAAAATTAGCGAATTAAGTGAAATTGTTAGTCATATACATGATAACAGATAGGAGTAATAATTCCTGACCTTCATTACAAGTGGCAAACCAACAATCAATTTCTTCCCGAATTCCCCTCTGAATTTCTGATGTGTCTCTTATTCATTTCTCTATCTATCACAGAAGATCTATTCTCTCTGTCGTTTATTCCTTCATTTATTTCCTGGGTATCTTTCTTCTTCCTGCCCTTCCACCTCTCCACTCTCCAGCTGGATGGAGGACAGATTGACGTGGGAGTCAAATGAAGCAAGGGACACATCAACGACCCGCTGCCTCGTCACAGCTGACGCCCCAGTCAATCCGTCAACCACCTACCAACGGTATTACATCATAAGCTCAGTTAACAGAGCGGGCCAGTGGCTGCAAGTGCAATATTGTTTTCATTTGAGGTTCTCGGAGGTCAAATGAGAAAGCCATCCATTGCGCTGTCAGGATTGTCAGCGTATGACAAACGACTTGGATACAATCAATCATTTTCACTTATCTTTCCATTCCAAAGAAGGTAAGGCCCCCCATACACAAAAAGGCAGTTAATAAGCTGCAGGCAGTTTACTAATAACGGTTTACAGAGAAGAATTTCCTGCATGAGAAATGCTAGGCTATATTTTTACCACCTGTCATGTTTGGTAGGTCTATGCTTCCCGAATAAGCTAAGCTGAAGCATGGGAAGCTCAGCAACAGTACTTTTTATTTATACAGCAGAACTTGTCCTAATCATGCTAATGTTGACATTACACCCTCAGTGCTCTGTGCTAAAACCAAGCTGAAGACATGGTGTATGTCAGAGCATTGAAGGTGTTGGGTTAGATCTGACCACTTGCATTTAGTCTGTAATGCCATTTCTCCCTTTGGCAGGAGCTAAAAGTGTAGCAACACACACACATATAGTGACTAATTTAGCACAGGCTGCCTCATCTTGCCCTGGGGCACAGCTTAGGCAAAGATAAGGTCTGCATTACCCAGACAGAGTGAACAGTTTCGACTGTTTCCAGCAGCTAAGACAACAGAAGATGTGGATGATGACTCACATACATGACACATTTCGTGAAGTGTCTGTTATAGTACTATGGGGTAGCTTATAGATTCATAATGATCTGCAACAGGAAAAGAAAAAAGAACACATGATTTTGAAATACACCAAGAAACAGCAGGAGAGAATGATGGCAAAGACAAAGGTAACACATCTGAAAGGAGTAAACTAGAAGAGTTCTCTCCAACCTCGCCTGCCCCACTTAGTTGACATTTTTCAGAAGTGTGCCAGGCAGCAACACATCAGCTCTGTTCGCTTGCCTTGTTAGACCACATTATCTTGCAGCTAAACTGGGACACGACATAATATGCACATCCAAACACCTCCATAACCCACAGCTTCACAATAAAGGGGTGACGAAGCCACACAGTAAGGGATGTGGTAAAAAGTTTCCCGCTGATAGAAATGAAAGGATTCTGGTATTAAACCTCTTTGATGCGAATACGCGATGCTTCTACAAATGAGCTTGTCGAATTTCCCTAAGGGGGTTCAAAACTGTAAAAAAGCACTTTTACTTTGAACGATCTCACCCCACCATAGTACACATTTTCAATAATTCACACTTACAGATCTGCTTTTGCTACGCTGCAGATAAATAATTTAACACCCTGTGTGCGCCAGTCGCTGCACTTTCGAGCAACAGTTTATATGTGGCATGTACAAACCATGGCAAATGTTGAAAAAAAAATTACTTAAGCATAGAAACCATGTAGGAACATACTGGATACAATCTAACTGAATCACTGAACGGGTGCTGGCAGGAGGAGTGAATGTGTATGCTGGAGGCTAACGCTACTGCTATGGGAACATTGGAGGTTGGATTGAATGACTAAGACACCACAAAAACAGCCAGAACCGTTCCTAAATGCCCTGGAACCCATGTCAAGTCGCAACCCAGCACCATAGGAGTGTAACGAGCTTTCAAAATCATATTTGATTCAATTTCTTGCTCAAGATCGCGTCCAAGCAAGTTTCTTATGCTCCATTTGACTGCACAGTGTTGAATGTGTGGCATTGCTGATTCATGCATAATATACTATATACAGTTAGTGCTGGTGTCTGCATTTCTAGGGAAGCAAGACCACAGAAATGCTTTTATGGTTAACAATATATCTTGTTAGTTGTTTTTTCTTCTACTATTACAAGAGGGATGTTACAAAAGTAATTAATGTTGCATTATTGTTATAATGGTTGTGCAACAGTAATAGACATTTAGAGACAACTGTATATATATTTGAAGATCTTTAATCAAGATCTCTCATGTTGACAATTTTATATATTTTTGCTGTTTTGCAAAGGGTGTACACTAAAACAGTAGATTGTCCACATCATGCAAAAGCTTGAGTGCTAGATTTAAATGTTCCTGTTGACTTAACTTTTTACATCTCTATACATTACATAGTTAATGTGTGATTTTTGATTTTCAGACTGAACTTACATTGAATGATCCCCCAGCCTTCCTATGTCCCCCCCTCATTCATACCCAATGTCCAGCTCACTGTGGTTGACATGACCCGGTGTTAACAGGATGGTAACAAGGTGGTGAAGAACAGCAGCAGCTCAGTGTAACAGTGGGATTGACCTGCCCCTGTCACTCAAACACCAACCCTAACATCCATAATCAGAGCCTATTCTATAATCTGACTGGCCTCTTTATACCAGAACATCTATTTAACCCGCTAATAACATGGCTTATGTGAGTATGAGAGGGAGATACAGAGACATATCCAATTAGAGGGCAGCCAATCACTGGATTAATGAGAGAGTAGGGGAGGAATGGTAGAAGGAGTGGAGGAATGGATTAGGGGAAGGCTAGGGGAAAAAGGACAAAGGGTAGCAAGAGAGGGTTGGAAATGGAATAAAGATGGAGAGAGCGGAGATGAAGAAAGAGGAACACGGAACACAAAAGGCTGAATCCTCATTCGCTTTACAAATCCCCTTAGAAATGAATAGGGGTGGCAGGAGCTGAAATCTATAATCCTGAAAGAAAAACAAATCTAACAAAGAGGACACAGTCACAGGGAGGAGAGGAGAAAGAAAAGAACAGAGATTGTAAGAATGAAGGTAGAGAAAAGTACTGGAGACTGGTTATGCAGTACAGGACACTGCATGTGTTAGTGTTGGGCTATAGCTTTCCTCTGTAATGACTTTATAATGTGACACAGACAAGCAGGGTACAGAGTGACTCTCAGCAGGATGCCGTTGCCTGAAGCAAGGTGTACACGTCTTTGTCAAGGTGCTTCAGTCACTACATTGGGATGTATTTATAGATCAGTATCGTAGAGTCTGCACTAAAAAAGGCTGTGCTGACTAGATTAGAAATTACAAATGTTTGTACTGATAAAGAAACAAAAGTACTCTGCCAGGAAGTCATTATATAACCAAAGTAACCATGTCTGTTTTCTTTCATTTACTTTGTGATAGAGGATTGTGATTGCAGTGAGGACAAGGTTTGCATTCGTTTTCTGTTAATAAAAAGGAGAAACATTTTGGAGCCGTATCTAAACTTAGTTTACTTTACTCTCATGAGCTGGGATCAGAAAGCTACTCAAGTTGATCAATCACAGTAGATAAGGTTACATTTGTGTTCACCTTCACCTGAAGCAGAGCCTCTGTTTGTAGTAGGAACTATTAAAACATACGTATCCACCTATTAGCAAACAGAGAGAGAAATAGCAGAACATTGTTTCTTAATGACTGCTTACTTCTCCCTGCTTAAACTCCTCTCTTTATCCTTCTCCTGACCCTCTCTCCTCCAACATCAGTCTGACCCTCTCCATCCTCTGCTGGAGCCTCACAGCAGCCAGGATGCAGAGGAGCTCTCTTTGACTGAAGGGAAAGGTTTCAAGGCTGAGAACAGCAGGAGAGAGGCTGTATCGACTGCCTCTGTTCTCAGCCTCCTGTTGTGGGCCCTCTGCTCTGCTCTGCTCTGCTCTGCTCTGCTCTGCTCTGCTCTCCTCTCTTCTCTTCTCTTCTCTTCTCTTCTCTTCTCCTCTCCTCTCCTCTCCTCTCTTCTCTTCTCTTCTCCTCTCCATCATGCGTTTCCTCTTTCTGTATTTCTCACTTTTTCCATCTATCACTGAGTGTCCCAGAAACAGCAGGTGGCCTTCTGCTATCGACCCGCTCAGGCTGCTTTAATAGCGTTTGGGACCACTGGGAATTAGAATTGTGTTTGTGTGTTTGTGCAAGCTGTTATTGTAAACCAGCCTCTGATCATGCAGGCAGTATGGTTATTCAGAACTGTACGGCTGACCACAACATGACCTTTGAACCTGGCAGTGAGGTTAATAAAAAACGCACGCAAGAAATACAAGATAACATTTATCAACATTATTTTTTGTAGAGGAATCTTTTGAAAGATGTGATCTGTATCAGTACTGATAACAAATGAATGCCACGTGTAATTATGTGGAACTGAATCATGTTAGTATACTTTTTCTGTTTACATTTCTAGCTCATCCTGTCGACCTCTTCGACATTTAATAAAACTTGTCTGGACTTGAAGAGTCAGCATGACAGGAAACAATTCCGCTCAGAGTTTTGAGGGAAACCATCAGGAATCAATTTGCTGTAGAGAAAGCTGTGAGAATAAACCTGTAATGCTACATATTGTTGCTGCACATTTGAGATGAAGCAATATGCACTGAACTCCTTTAGTGATTGCAGACACAGCAGAGTATAAAACAACTGGTGGTAATAAAGCAGTGTTTCAGCTGTCTGAATCTGCATGAAGAATAAAGTCTACTGACATGAGATAACAGATCTGTGGTATAAGAAAGAAAGAAAGAAATAACAATACAAAATTGAAACAATTAGTTAAATAAGATCTTGCATTCATTCACTTCTACTTTTTTCTACTAGAGTATCATTTGTGTGTATGTGTTGTGTTTATTAACTACTTTCCATATTTGTGTCTATGGCAATTCCCAGATGATCGTCCCTAAACAGTTAGTGGGGGTCAGCTCTCTAAATAGGCTATTAGGCTAATAGACTAATTACTACGAAGGCCTTACACACACACACACACACACACACACACACACACACACACACACACACACACACGGGACCACTATTGGCCAACAAAACTCATTTGGTTAATTTTTTTCTTCAATATATGCTAATTGGTATGCAATTAGCTTACGTTTCTAAATTACAAAATGAAATGCTACATTTGTAACACGATGTTGGCGATTATAGCGAAGCATAAAAGGATCCAACATAATGGGAACAAATGGAAATTAAGTATTAATAATAATTCATTTGTTTTTCTGTAATATCTTCTCTATGCTCAATTACACACACACTGCAATTTTTCAAAAAGGGGGATAAAAACTAAATTCTCCCATTTGTACAAAAGATTAATTGGATGGAATTAGAAACCATGACAAAATAGCCTCCTAAATGTCCTTATTCTGCTAACTTGTGTGCCTCTCTTGCTTCCTTTCCTACTCTCTGTGCAGATGGACCGGCTGAGACCTCAGGAGAGACAACCAGGCTGCATTTGAAAGGGCATCTTCCACTCACTGCCTGTGTGATATTTAAAGTGTTATCAGGATAATCTGGACTCTTAAAATGTGCTCACATTTACACACATACACACAAACAAATTGCAATACACATTAGCAAACACTGACACTTTCATGGTGCCAGAGAGGTCCATAATCCGCTGCAAGTTGCAGACAATATACAGGGCGACTAGGCTATCACTGCCAACTAAACAGCAGCGGCCTTCTGTGATTACTGCTGGCAGCAGATAGAGAGGAGCGAGAGGGGAAATGATATCTTAACTCAAAGCGTTTGCAACATTATTCTAGAAATCACATTTATACTGACTGAAAATGATGCAAAAAAAAGCTTGAAAGAGAGAGACCAACCAAACATTTTCAAAATGCTGGCCACATTTTGCTTGAATGATTTAATTACTAGCCCTTCAAAATGACTTGATGAAGAGATAATGCTTGTGCTGAATGGTAAGAAGTGTGTGTTTACAAATAGGGCTTAATACTTTTCATCATTGCCACTTTTATTAAGTAAAATGTGGGACTATGTAGTCATACTGTATCTTGCCCTGTCTATCCTTTTGTATTTTAGCTCTTTTATTTCACTTTTTATAATGTTATTTATATGGGTCTTTTTGTATTTGCCTTGCTGTTGAAAGGTACTATACAAATATATTTCCCATGCCTTGTCTTCCATCTATACATGTATAACATATAATGTAAGTACACACTCTTAGCTTTGTGTCTCTTTGTGAGTAACATCAAGAGAAAGTGAAAACCCAACCCAGTGAGTCATGGCTATGTGTGCATCTCTTAGAGCCCAGCATGTGTGTTATGGACTTTCCATGGTGCTATTTTAGCGAGCCGTTGCCTCTGATAGAGGTGTTCACAGTCTCACTGTGTGTGTGTCCATTACACTGAGTGCTGCTATTTCACTCCACATTCCATGCCATCAAAGGCACTAAGAGAGATATGTGTGAATCTGGACGTGCCCATGCACACACACCATCACACACACATAAAAGTGTACTGAGACCACTCTCCTCTCTCGCTATAATTCAACACATTTATTCACTCCAACTCTAGCCTCACATTGTGTTTCTATAAAAAGACTTGGTCATAGCAGCAGCAGTCTATCTAATCCCTTTCTCTCCTCCAGCCAGGCTGTAATAAAATCCTCCACGCTACACCAAAGGTTATTGTAGCCTTTGACATGAGGAAAATGATAAATGCCAGTGGTTATGATATTGACTCAGCAGGGGAGACTTTTCATGTGTGTGAGTGTGTGTGTGTCTGACCTGGGTCTCAGACATGACATAGAGATGGTGGTGGTCTGGAGAGAAGGCCATGTCTCGGAGGATGGGTCCATTGTCCACCGCCTGCACAGTCTCATACTGCAGAGCCCGAGAGGAGCCGTCCACCCGGATCTGGGAAAAACAAGGAAAATTAAGAATTAATGTATAAATACACAGTATGCATATGCTCTAGCACTACAATTAAGTCCCAAGTATTACTATACAGAATGTAAATAATCAATAATCAATTGAGTAAATACTAACGGTGCATAACATTTTAATTGCGCAAAAGGTTATTGCTTTTTTTATTAAGTAAAAGACAACTTAAAATGAAATAAAAAACTGCCTCTCTTTAAGAAAAAGTTACAATAGTTAAAGAGTAATTGGAAGGGCTGAAATAAAATAAAGAATAGCTGTGGTAAAACAGAAGCAAAGGTAGAAAAGAGTCACGTTGCCTTCCACAAGGAAGGTCTCTGCAATGGAACACCGTGACGCTTAGGACAACAAAGTGTGCAATCAGGGACCAAGGTATAATTAAAAAGGTACTTTTGAGAATTATTATGGATAAAACTGCTCATTTACCACACGCAGCCTGAGGATTTCCCCATGCATCATGGCTTTCTGTGCGGTGCCTGAGACGCTCATCTTTCTCTATCACGGTTTCAGCCATTCAAAAGTGATTACAGTAATTAGACATCTGGGCAAGAGGTGTGGCTTGCGAGCCCCTAGGTGTGTTTGCTCAGCAGAAAGTGCATGGAATTGGCTCTGTGCA